TTTGACAGACTGTTGACATACTCTTTTCAGAGGACTGAGTAAACCCATTAAGAAATGTAAGAAAACAGAGACCTGTCAGTTCTGGACTTGTCTGCCAGCAAAACGTCTAGACTAATTTTCAGCTGTTTATTTTTATTTTTTATTTTGCATTACGGTTGATCTTATTCGGGACACCTGCTGTTGAACAGGAGTTCCCCATATGGTAACTGGTAGAAGTCAGCAACTAGAATACTACTTGGTGCACAAAACAGGCACCACGTGATATCAGTGCTGCTGTACAATGTTCTGCTGCTTGCTAATTGTTTACTGCGATCAATTTGAAACATTGATTTTAATCTTCAAAGCTCTGGGCAGCTTATGACCCATCTTCGTAGGGGACAGACAGTCTGTCTCATTATGAAGCTATTCAATTATTAAGAACACCCAGAAAAAAAAGACTTTTTGAAGATGTTGCCATTTCAGAATCCCTTATCAATAAGGAAGAATATTGGTAGCTTTGGGGTTGATATAAGGAATCCTTGGTGTTCTCTGAGCTTGGTTGTTTTCTTGCCGATGTTTCATTACCAAACCAGGTAGCATCATCAGTGCTAGGGCTAGTTTGAGTAATGAAATGTCAGCAAGAAAACAACCAAGTTTGGAAAGTGCCAAGGACCCCTCAGAAGCTCTTATGTCAGGCATAAAGAGGCAATATATATTTATATTATATATTATATATATATTTCCTTAAGATCTACAATTGCCCCCTTGTTTGGCTTATCACCTGAAGTTATGAGAACTTCAAACTGGGTGAAACAAAGGGGTTGTGCAGGCTGAACTCATTCCATATGTCTTCACCAATCTTGCCAATCCCATATTCTCCTGGATGTCCATTCATTTCACCTTGAAAGTTTGAAGGAAAACTGCACATTCGTTTCTCTAGAGTTCAAGCACTGGTACTCCTCGACGTATGACCACAATTGACCCCAGGATTTTCTGCTGCTATGCAAACCATTTGCAAAGTGAGTTTTGCTCCATTTTATGCCCTTTCTTGCCGTAGTTGTGAGGTGAACATCTGCAGTGATTAATCAGTTAGGAACAGCGTTGTTAAGTGAATCTGGCTTCCCCATTGTCTTTGCTGGCCAAAAGGTCACAGCCGTCATATATAGGAGCCAGTTTTCAAGCGGCCAAATTTTGATTACATGACTTTGGGGATGCCCCAATGGCTGTAAGTGTGAAAAAAGGTCATAAGTCACTTTTCTTAGTGATGTAACTTTGAATGGTCAGTAAATGAGGTTTGTAAGTACAGGATTACCTGTATGTGCAGGGGTGAATTCAAAAATCCCAGCAACCGGTTCGCTGTCTGGTTGTTGGGTGGGCATGGCCATGCTGGACGTGGCCTACTGGAACTTCCGGGAGGGCCATATTTCACCTTCCCCAGAGTCCGGAGGTTTCCCTCAGGTCTCTGGGAGGGGAAAAATGGCCGCCCCCGGGCTCTGGAAGCTGGAAACAGGCCCATTTCTGGACTTCCAGAAGGCCCATTTTTCACGCAGGCCCTGCATTTACCTGCATCCAAAACAGGCCATGTGGAGACTCCTGGGAAGGGAGGGGAAGGATGGATGGGGCCAGCCATTTGGTTCAACTACCGGTTCGGTGAACCAGATGTAAATTTAACATCCAGTTCTCCCAAACCAGTCCAAACCGGTAGAATTCCACCCCCGTGAGCAAAAATCTTAACAAGTCAGGATCCTGGATTTCTTTGAGTTCAATTTGCATTTAAATAAATCCAAGGCCTTCATCGGGTCTGCTTATAGCCTCCATTGTGGCTGAAGGCAACATGAAGTGAGATGGGCAGACGGGTAGAATGTGCAATCCCATTAAACAGACACAAGGAACGTATAAAAATAGGTCCATTAAAAATAAAGAAACTCTTTGCCTTCTAAACACCAGGCAAAAGGGGTGTGTCTTGGCTATTTTTCTAAAGCAGAAAAGAGCCCAAATATTACTTCTCAAGCAATGAGTGTAACAGGGGGCAGTTGAATTTGTACATTCCTGTTTCCCTTGGATTCTAATTTTTCTGATGTTTTGTTTGTTTCAGCTATTAGTCTGTAAAAAAAAAAAAAAAAGTCTTGGATGAAAATCCAGACTCATTGCTGCATTTTGTCATTTGCAGTTTTGTACCCTTCTAATGTATTTTTTCAAAAATATCACTAATGTTATACTTTTGTAAATATTAGCACACTGCATTTAGCGAATGGTATTTATGAACATTTTTGAGTGGCATATGCAAATGAAATTTTGAATAGTGAGTATTTCAACATGCATGTGTACTCATCCTTCAAGAACAAAACCTTATTCAGATTGAACTATTTTAAAACATTCTTCAGTTTAGCTTTCAGCTTTAGGACTTAAATGGTAGGTTTTTATGCTTTTAACACTTTATTTTTTGATTTGTTTGAATGTGCAGTAACTATGAAGGCTTTTTTTTGTAGAGGGTTGGTATAAAAACAAAGCAACAAAACCACATTCCAAAATATTGGATTCTCTTGCTCAGCAGACAAACCTGTTCACTAGAAAATAAATTAAACACACTTCCTCAAAGCTTAAGTCCCATGGTGTCAGAAAAGTTAACCTGGTCTCAATCTATTCTATGCTACCTGGGCTAATATTTACAGTTTCCAATCATTTCTTTATTTCTTTTGTGGATTTCCATTGAAAGCTTTTGCTGATCACCATGTAGAGTATACAAATACTGAACTGAACTGGCATCTGTGAATAAAAAGATATTTTAAAAAATCTAAATGTTAAGGATCTTGTGAAATCACCAAATTTTTGGAGATTTAAGTACAATGAAACTTTAGGGGAGCCAGAAAAATCTCAAGATTTGGCCATTTTATGAGACTTAATAGTTTTTTTTTTAAAAAAAGATCTTTAGTTTGGTGGCCATGTTACAGTCCACCAGCAATATTTTTTTTGTAAACTATCACTAATGATCTGATGCTTTTTTGGATCACTCCTTTAGATAGCACCAGGTTTATATATAAATCTTTGCTCTGTAATGCATTCTGGTCTTAATATGTTCTCGCATAAAAAGTCTAAAATACTGAATACCATCACACCTCCTCTTCTTATGTCTTAACAAGAATGCATGAGGAAGGATTCTTGATATAGTATCTGTTCTGGATATGAATTCAGGGAGGCTGAATGGTAATTTCTTGGTCTTGCTCATTGCTTTGATCCTCAAAATTCTGTGCTTGCTCTTTGCTTCAAAGCTTGCTGAGAAATGAAATGTTTAATTCTGATTTAGTCAGATGTGGGTCTCTTTGAGCTAAAATTTACCACAGCTGAGCTGGCCCTGTTGCTCTGATTTTCCCTATCTGTGTTGGAATCAGTTGAGGGAGTGGTCTATATATCTCCAGCAATATTATCCACATGCTGAAATGAATTCGATTGAAAAATATCCTCAGAAGAAATCTACCCTCAATGGAACCTTCTAATTCTATAGCATGCTTCAAGATGTCATTGGAGATGAATTTGGAGGGTTCTTTGAAGGAAAACCTAAAGTTTAAATTTCCCCCAAAAGCAAATAAAAGATTACCTATAAGGGATTTCATATATCCCTTGAAGTCTCACTAAATTTTGCCTAGAGATTTTTTTTTTTAAATTAGAAATGTATAAAAGGATGTCAGGAATGTTGAGATCATTTATTAAATTTCTGGAAAGTGACAGAAAGGTCTATACTATACATTTTAACAACAAAAAGCCTTCTTTAAAAAGTTCATTGCAATTGTATATAATCTCAAGACTTGCATTATAGCTAACCCATACATGTTCATGTTTTACCCAGCGTGTTAAATACATCTAGGAAATCACTGATACATATGATACAATCCCTTGCCTACTTGGACATTACACATAGAGTGAAACTTTGAAAATGTTTTACTGTCCATTATTTATTCCATTTCTCCCAAGTTTCCCAATGGAAATAAATCAAATGACACTAGCAGAAGGCTAACAATAAATCTTGATCTTATTTCTTAAGTCTTAACTCAGATCTGTACAATAAAGATATTTAGTGACCTAGGTCCCCTCTCACCCCCCAAAAGTACACCGCCCCTTTTAGTATTAATACCTGTATTTCAAGACTTTATGACAAAGAATGTATTGTCTCCAGAGATGAGGATTCATTAATTGTCACAGATAAGGGGAATATAATTAAAACTAAACGGTCTGAAAATACTAGAACTTAAGGAAATTAGTAGAGTCGTATGTGCTTGCTCTTATGCCCTATTTCTGAGTGCCGTTGGGTTAGCCAACTGGATCAATTCTGGGGAATTCTTTTTTATGTTTTTCAAAACTAACACGATGCCTGCCCTTCCCCTCAATAACACGATTTGTACTTCCACCACCATCACCTGCAGCTGTGTTAGACACGCATACATGCACACACATGCCCAGGGAAAATCTGATGCATTGATTAGAAGTGTAATAATTAAGCAAAGGGGGTGGGACAATCAGAATGAAAAGGGTTGTGGGTTTTTGAGGTTTTGTTGCAGCAGGGAAACAAAAAAAGAAAAGAAAAGGGCTCTAGAAAGCATGCAGGCAAATTCACAACAGCAAAAACGTGAAAGGAAAGGATCGGACTGGACTGCAAACCTCTACAGCTCACCTACCCTTTTCAGACACAAATGGCTCTCTGCTTTTTAAGCTATATCACTGACCATTTCTTCCCTGCTTCAATGGAAGCAGGTGTCCTTGATGCCTGACTGATTTTTATAGCTCCCATGCACTGGCATTTTAAAAACCCTGCTAAACCTTTTGTTTTTTACCCACTCGTGGGTCCGGAGGAAAACTAATGGAGATCCTTGCGACATAAACTTCCATCGTAAGGTGAAATAAACTTATACCTGACAAATTTTTCATTGCTGCGCCTCTTTTGTTTCTGAATTTCTGTTAAAAAGGCATTTCTGCTCTCTTACATTCCTGAGCCCTTACAGAAAGGAAGAGAAGGAGTGTGTACCTACCTTTTCGGAAGCTAAAACATCGCTTAATCCTCCTGTAAGTAGTTTTGGGAACAAAAGGAGACGATGCCAGGGTACCCGAGGCACGGACCCCAGTATTCCTGTCTTCAGGCATCATGCGGGCCTCAGAAAGAGTTGCTAGCCAGAAGCAGATATAAAAGACTGTTTTGGGCTGTCGTGATGCAATCAATCATTCTTGTTTACTACTGTTTGTCTTCTCATCTCCACTCCTGGAGTATCTTAGTCTGTTGATGTTCTCTGCCTCGGATGGCACACTTTCAAGAAAAAAGGGGCTTGTCCCTTTCCTTCTTTGCTAGTGGTTTCTGTTGCACTCTTTCCTCGTTCCTTCGCTTCTGGTTTTATTTCCCGTGGAAGGGTCCAAGTGTCCTACCACCTTGACGAAAGACTCTCAACCCCTCATTGTTCATGGAAGGTACCACATGGGTGCTTTGTGGCACGGTTTTGGGGGGGAAACGGTGCCTCTTCTCAGCTGGAACTGTACAGGGTAGAGCAACTGGGAAAGTCGGGGGCAGAGACTCCAGCGCGAAAGGTCAACAAATAGCAATGCATAAATGGAAGATGAGAACAATAGCCAAAAAGGACCCCCCCAAAGATCTGTGTTGGAGGCTTCTGGGATGGTTCCTTTTTATCTCGGTAAAGAGGGAGCAAAAATCATGACAGCATCTCTCCAGAGGCCCCACTTGTCCATTTGAGATGCTCTTCAAAGAACTGCTTCTTTCTCTCCCCCCCCCCCCCTGCTTCTTAATTATGATGCAAGGAAATGCTCTCCCTTCAGACGGTCTGGATGATTTCTTGCCTTCCTCTCTCCCGGCTCTTGTGGCGAAGGCACCAGGCTCTGAAAGATCTGCTGTTCATCAGCACACTGCTTTTAAGTTCCTAGGTGGATTGGCTGAAGCACACACGCCTCTTCCAAGGGATGTCACTGCCAAGCTTTCCCCTATCCAGCTATTCTCAACGGAAAGGTTTCAAAGGCTGCGGCTGTTGGCGCTGCTGTTTTCGACCACTGTTTCTATGCTTTCTGCTCCAGCCTGCTGCAAGCGTGTGGCAGGTGCAAGCAAAACAATATAAAGCAGGCATAAGCGAAGCCGAGCAGCCTCGGCAATGTTGATTTTTCTAAAATGTTGACTTTGACTTGACTTCAAAGAAATGTCACGTGTGTGGCAGTTTTAAGAGCCTCTTTGCTTCTGGCAGAGGTGTTTCACTCTCCCACCCCACCTCGCCTGTCCCATTAATCTTTCCTGCTCCAGGGGTCCCCTTGAGTTCCACCCTAGGTTGACTTCCATGCTGTGTAATCAAAGCTTGTTTTCACTCCTATCAAGAGCAGCAACCAAAAAAAAATGTCACCTTCTAAATCTAATTAGGAAAGAATTTAATTCACCGAGAAACATTCAGGGAGCGAACGGGAATTCTTGCCAATGCTGTTAAAGGCTGTTTTCAGTATCTTCTTTGTCCTCACCCTCCACAAACAATTATTTTTCCAAAGGGTTTCTTCCCCTCTACCCCCTCGCTGGTACAAGTTAACATCACAGTTTAATAAACCAGTTAATAATTTGCAGAGCTCCTGCTCTGTGAGCAATTGCCTTTGCACTAGGGCTGCCAGGAAGGTCAACCCCCCAAATATTAGGATTTTACCAAAGGGCACAGAGGCATTTTTTTTTCAACAGTTCAGAAAACATGCTTTTCATTCCAGTGAGATGGGATGATGGATGCAAGCCTTGAAATGCACATGCAAAGCGGAAATTTTCTTCCAGGTTTTTCTTTTCTTCTTCTCTTTGCTCCTTTCATTTCAAGCCAGATTTTTATCATAGGCCAGCACAATTTGAAACCCATCGCTGCTCTCCAGCTACTCATGTCTAGTGATCCAGGACAAGGTTGATACTTTTCTTTTTTTTCTTTTTTGATTCCTATGTAGAATTTCAAAAATGATAGGAAGGCAGAGCTGGCAAGCAACTGAAAAGCAACTGTACATGACTTAGTTCTGCTTAGTAGGTGAAACGTTGCAGGCTAGGCTTAAATATTTAAAAGCGGGATGATGAGGAAGACAAAAGAGCATTTAATATAATATTGGAAACTGCCTTGTGTCTAGGCAGATTATTTTGCTATCTAGCCCAGCCTTGTCTACTCTGACTGATGGCAGCCTTCCAGTGCCTATGGATGTGGTGGCTAACCTTTTTGACACCGAGTGCCGAAGCGGGAGTGCGCACGTGCGTGTGATGGAAACTGGAAGAGTAGCTCCCTGATGTGCATTTGCGGGAACGCCGGAAACCAGAAGCTTAGCTTCCCAGTGCGCGTATGTGCGCCAGACACCTGGTTTTCCAGTTTCTAACATGCAAGTGTGCATGAAGACCAGCTGGCCGGTGTGCACATGTGCTCTGGGGAGATGCTCTTCTGGTTTCTGGTGCTCCCGTGCACACAAAGACCAGTTGGCTTGTGTGCATGCGCATGCAAGAACCCAGAACAACAGCAGGTGATGGCTGGCATGCCTGGAGAAATGGCTCTGTGTGCCACTTCTGGCATGTGTGGCATAGGTTTGCCATCATGGGCCTATGGCTAAAAAACATCTTTAGAATAACTTTCCTTGGAATATCAGACACTGACTCTGCAACCTCACACATGCAAAACAATGAACAACCTCCACAAAATATGATGCATCCATAGAACAAAAGAGAAGACTGGATTATCTGCAGCTACATGATCCTGTATCTAGTGTTAGACACTGTTTTTTTCCCATCGATTATCTTCAATACCGAAGATTCAGGAACATGGGTCTTTCACAAACTCACATTTTATGTTGCTAAGATAAGTACTCTGGTTATTTATTCAACCAACATATTAAGCAAAACAGGAATGGAAGAAAATAGTCGTGGTTTTAAAACTGGAGGAAGAAACTTCAATAACCTGAATAATGCCGATGACACTACACTATAGGAAGACAGTACCAGGTGGTGCAGTGGTAAGAAGACAGTATTGAAGGCTACTTCTGCTGACTGGCGAATCTCAGCAGGCTCAAGGTTGACTCAGCCTTCCACCCTTCCGAGGTGGGTAAAATGAGGACCCAGATTGTTAGGGACAATAAGCTAACTCTGTAAAGCACTTAGAGAGGGTACAAAGCAGTAGTAGGACTCAATTTTTTTTTACTACTGGTTCTGTGGGCGTGGCAGGTGAAGGATACTGTAAAATCTCCAGTCAGAGATGGCATTTTCCAGTTCTCCAAACTACTCCAAATTTCCACTATCGGTTCTCCAGGACTGGTCAGAACCTGCTGAATATCACTTCTCGTGTAAAGCACTATAAGTCTAAGTGCTGTTGCTATCCCAACAGCTCAAAATTCAGAGGATCTGCAAAATCAGATTGCTTTAAAAATCAAAGAGCACAATGAAAAAATGAGAGCAATAAATAAAACCAAATTAATGTCAACATGTAGAAAAACTAGCCTTAGCATTGGCAATGAAGATATCAAAGTAGTGGATCGTGTCTGTCTTTTTAAACCAACCATCAACAGTAAGGGAATAAGCAGTCAGGAAATATGTGGCAGACTAGCACTTGGTAAGGTAGTCACTTGGAAAAGATATTCAAATGCTGTGATGTGTCCATACCCACAAAGACCAGAATTATGAGTTCCATGGTATTCCCTCTGACACTCTTTGGAAGCAAAAATTGGAGTTTGAAGAAGCAAGATGGGATGAACATTGACACCTTTGAATGTGGAGAAGACTCCTGAGAATTAATTTTTTAATGTTAACTAATTATTTAACAAAAGACAAGGGATTGCAGTCTAGACTTAAAGAGAGTGCAGTCAGACTCCACAATTTCTTGGTTTCTGAAGACTAATGGCACATCCAAGTTTTGAGGTCCTTCTTAGAAGGGCAGCAGGATTGGGGCCAAGCTCAGCTTGGAGAGAATGATATTCCAGAGGATGGTGACACATCAGAAAAGGCTCTTTTCTGGATCTCACAACATGCCCTTTCTGCCAAACAGGATGGGAATAATTGATGTCATGAGGGAGAGGTGGTCCCTCAAATAATGTAGCCCCATGCCATGTCAGGTTTTAAAGATTGCATCTAGCACCTTGAATTGGACCTGGGAAGCAAAGCAGCTTGTGGAGTGTTTCATAGAGCACATATAACTGCCATGCTGCTGCATTTTGTACCAGCTGAAACACCTGAGTCCTCTTCAACGTTGCATCCATTCAGGAAGTAACTGGAGAATGAGTGACTGAGATTGGAGCCTCCTGATCCAAGAGACAATGCAACTGGTGCATAACACAAAGGCCCTTCTGGTCATGATTGCCACCTGCTCTTTGACTAGGAATTGTTCATCATCTCTGGCCACTGTGGGTTCCCGTGGAGATGACCTTGGCGTATCAGTTGGAATGGGCCTTGTTTTGACTGAAATACCAGCTTCTAAATGCAGCAGCGAAATTCACTCTCCCATCCCCCTTGCCCATGGCAAGTCGAGAGCAGTTCAGGGATGCTTTGCAAGTTGACAATAGATCTTTCTCGTGAGAACCAAGGTCATCTCCCAGGTGATGGAGGAAGAAGGAGAAGAGTGCCTGAGGAGCCCGCCAATTGACCTAATTGGCCAATGTGACCAGTGAAACTTGGGGAAGGGGCTATTACTGGTTTTAATTATGCTGAAACCACGGGAAAGATTCAGAGCTGGTTTTCCACTAAGTGTGCTGATATGATGTACCCAATAAAGAAGTTCTTAGAGGAAGCAAGTGGCCTCAGAGTTCTGATTTGCTTGGATTCCTTAGTTGGAACCTTGACAAAGAGCTTGCATGGCTGTGACCTGATTCAAGGCCACAGCCACCCTCTCATTTTAAGTGGCAACCCTAACCCTAACCCTTCAATCAATCAGCAGAAATAGCAATTTGTCTACAATTATTTCTTTTAAAAAAACACCCACTCCAAGTCTTTTATATCTGAAATTGGGCATGGGAAAGGGGTGACCAATAAATAAAATAAATTGTATGGAACGCTCAATCAACAAATTTGAGTTAGGGGTGAGTTAATGAAGTTGTCTTCATTAAGTTGTAAAAACATAACAGTTTCGGTTCCTTATTCTGTGTCCTACCTTTTGAGACCCATCTCTGCCTTGGGTAACTAGCCTTGTGCATCCTATTGGAATGAAGTCCAGGGATGTAGCAATTGACTTCCCCAAATCACCAGGGGTGGGAGAGCCACTAGCTAAGATTCTATGCAGTTCGGAGAACTGCCAAATCCCACTCCTGGCTGGCTCCGCCCACCTCATCCCAGGAGTCCCCACGCAGCCTGTGTTGGACGCAGGTAAGTGCAGTATGCGCACGGAGGTTCGGGGAGGGTGAAAAACGGGCCTCCTGGAAGTTTTTATTTTATTTATTTATTTGGTTTGTCAATCGCTTACAAGATAATAGGTATAAGTAAAGACATAGTTATGAATACATGAAATGGATACATATAAGAAAAATAAAAGAAACAATAGGACAGGGACGGTAGGCACGTTGGTGCGTTTATGCACGCCCCCTACAGACCTCTTAGGAAAGGGGTGAAGTCATTAGTAGACAGTCTAAGGTTAAAATTTTTGGGGTTTGGGGAAGAAACCACAGAGTCAGGTAGAGTATTCCAGACATTGACCACTCTGTTGCTAAAGTCGTATTTCCTGCAATCAAGTTTGGTGCAACTAACTTTGAGTTTGTATCTGTTGTTTGCTCTCGTATTGTTATGGTTGAAGCTGAAGTATTCATTGACAGGTAGGACATTGCAATGTATGATTTTATATACTATACTTAGATCGGACCGAAGATGGCATAGTTTTAGGTTTTCTAGGTCTAGAATTTCGAGTCTGGTGGCATAAGGTATTCTGCAATGAGTAGAGGAGTGGAGAACTCTTTTTGTGAAATATTTCTGGACTTTCTCAACTGTGTTAATATCAGATACGTAATGTGGGTTCCAGACTGATGAGCTGTATTCGAGTATTGGTCTATTAAATGTTTTGTATGCTCCAGTTAGTAGTGTGATATTACCAGAGAAAAAGCTACGTAGGATTAGGTTAACAACTCT